GCAACTCCTTCACCTATTACTTGGTACAAGGTAATAAAATTTACTATATATATATATACCAAGTAACCAATTTACAAATGCATATTTCTATTTAAGAACATAGCAAACAATTAAATTAGTTAGTTACCTTCAAATTTCCTTTATTTGTTTTTCAGACATATTTTGATGCACCAGAGGGCGATAACCCAGTGGCAATTAAAATGAACGGCATGGCAAAGGGTATGGTTTGGGTCAACGGTCAAAGCATTGGCCGATATTGGGTTTCTTACATCTCACCAATTGGGAGCCCAACTCAAGAAGAGTAAGCAAAGCATAAATCCCAATAATTCGGCCTTTTCGGTAACTTGCAGTGCAGTCATCGAGTTTTTCACCATTATATCAACACACACTTCTGTATGCATATTGTTAGAATATCACTTGTGAGTTGTCCCACATTGTTCACACATATAGACCCACCTTATAAGTCTAATGGGCTACTCCTTCTTTCCACCAATTGGTTTTGGGATGGAACCCCATTGGGCTTCATATGGGTTTTTCCCTCTCATGGTGTGCTTCATGTTAGTGGGCCCGCACCGTTTTCCCCCAGTTTCTTACATGGTATCCGAGTCCACTTTGTGTCTGGGTTAGAGACATGATATCAGAGTCCGACCGACTTTGTGTCTGGGTTAGAGACATGATATCAGAGTCCACTTTGTGCCTGAGTTAGAGACATGATACCGACTTTGTGTCTGGGTTAGAGACATGATATCAGAGCCCACTTTGTGCCTGGGTTAGAGACATGATATCAGATTCACAAGTGACGGGGCGTGTTAGAATATCACTTGTGAGTTGTCCCACATTGTTCACACATAGAAAATAGACCCACCTTATAAGTGTAATGGGTTATTCCTCCTTCCACCAATTGGTTTTGGGATGAAACCTCATTTGAGCTTCATATGAGCTTTCCTTTTCCTCCATTTTCTTACACATATGTTGATCTAACAGTTAATAAAAACCCAATGATTACAATACATTTACCGATAGGTTGAAATTTTCCGCATATAAGCATATACGAAAGAGAGTAATATCATATATACATCCAAATTTATTATCATTTTTTTTTTTTTAGGTATCACATCCCAAGAGAATACTTGAAGCCCAAGGATAATCTATTAGTGGTGTTTGAGGAAACCGGCGGGAACCCGGAGAAGATGGAAATAGTGACCGTTAATCGCGACACGATCTGTAGCGTTATCACCGAGTATCACCACCCGCACGTGAAAACATGGGAGAGAAAAAACAACGAGTTTCGAAACATAACTGACCCGATAAAGGCCGCTTACCTCACGTGCCCCGACCATAAGGTCATCGACAAAGTCGAGTTTGCAAGCTTTGGGAACTCGGACAATGCTTGCGGATCCTTCAAGCCCGGCTCGTGTGACTCCACCGCGGTTCATGACCTTGTTGAGAAGGTACTATACAAAACCTAAATTTTTTTTGGTAAAGAATGTTGTGCAGCAAAATTAATTACCACACAATTTTTGGTAATTTTATTATTACAGCTTTGCTTGGGTAAAACAACATGCACAATCCCATTTGAAAGGGAGCAGCTGCTTAATGGGGCCAAGGAACTGTGCCCAGATGTGGAAAAGACACTGGCTATTCAAGTGAAATGCGCGGGTGCAAATAAGAGCGATGATTGATTTGTTAATTTGTACTATAATTTTTAAAATGTTTTTGGAATTATATTTTAGACTATTTATTTATTTAGTATTGACCATTTTGTTTGTTTTTTGTTGCTTATATTGTCCACATTTATGTAGCGCAGCATAGTTGATAATACAGTGACAATAAAAGAATAGACATTAAATTTATCAAAAAATTAGACGAAAAGAGAAAAATGATTAACTTAAGAATTAAAATATTATTACAGTAGAAGAAAAGGAGAAAGAAAATAATAATAATAGAATTAAATAACTCAATGTTCGCTTCTGCAT